GCGACCAGCCACAGGGTTGTCGTTGAGACAGCCTGCGCTGGGGCTGTCAGAAGCAGGGATGGTCAGTGCGTGCGTGTGTGTGAGGTGTCGTGGGAGGCGGCGGCAGCCCATCTTTGGAGAAGCTCGACACTGACGCTGTGTCTGGCGCCGGGTCAGCAGCGGCAAGCCGCCGCCGACTGCGGACGCCTTCGGCGCTAATCAGGAGATGCGAGAACAAATCGTTCTCGCCGTTATCACGGCGGCCATTGCGCATAAAGCAGGATGATTCACGGCCTCTCAGCTGTCTGTCCGCCGGTTTCGTGTGCAAAGTTAGCCATAGAAACACGTCCCCGGCCATAAATCGCGCATCCGAGCCGCGGAGGCGGGCCGTAAGTCAGCGGCTGAGAACACCCAAACGGTGTAGCCGGCCGCCGCCGGCGCCCGCTCCCGGCGCCCCTGGCCAGTCTACCAGAGGTGACCAAATTACACGGCTCAATGAATTATACTGGCGGCCACCACATCAGACCCAGCCCCGGGCCGTGCCGGGCTCAAAGGTGTTGTCAATTGACGGCTTGGCGTAGAAATAACACGCCTGGAAGAGGAGCAATTGTGGTAAACGCACTGGCTACGATGCTTTAGGTGGTTACACGGGCTACAAGTGCACATTAGCCGCGTCTAAAATACACATTACCGGCCGGCCAGAGCCTACAAATATGGTGAGGACAGCGTCCAGGGCGGCCAGGTATGCTAACAAGGCCCGTGCTGGTGGCGGCCGCAAGTGAGTGGCTATCAGCGCTGTTTGGGTGGCGCGAGTGGCGACACTGCTACAGTTGTGACAATGTCGTGATTAGCCATGATGGATCGGCTGTAATGAGAGGTGTCCGCGGCCGGGCCGACCTTGTTCGGCTGCTGAGCCGTCGCTTATTTACACTACAGTCACAACAGTTAGCGGTTACGCCGCGCTTCAGTCCGCCGTACATGTAAATGAGTGTTTTCGTCAGGTAGGGCCGGCGAGGGCAGCGCGTGGACGAGCCTGGGGCGACGGCGGCGCCCGGCCGGCGACGCCGCTGCCCAGACGGGCTCCGTCTGGCTCCGTCTGGTCCCAGACGGCGGACCCGCCTGACCTGGTCAGAGACGGGCCGGCGGCCCCGTCTGTCTCCCAGGCGACGGACGCCGCTGTTATCTAGGAGCGGCAGTCGCGTCCAGGCCAGAGAGACGCCACCTTCCGGTCACTGGTACTGGGCGCCGGTGTTTAACTGGTGCTGCCGCCCGAGTGAGAGGGGACGGCAACGCTGTTTAACTGGACTTTTGGCTTCCTGGCCAAGGGAGATGTTTACTGGGTCTCGAGGAGGACAGAAGCGGACTAGCTGCCGGCATGGTCTTCCTCTGGCACATACGCCCGGTACGAGGGCGGACAGCACCAGTGAACCTTGCATGCAGGCAAAACACCGATACCCTCTAACGACAGGCGAGAATGCCGCTCTGTGGACAAAGACAAGAGAGGAAACCGCTCCTGGCAGGGTGGGACGTCGGAAGACAGCGTGTACCGAAGAGCACATTGCTCTGCGGCCGACTAATTCGCGTCGGGTGTAGCAGAGCACAACTTTACGGCATCGGGGGTGTTACACGCCGTCCGAGAAAGACGCTGCAGGATTAAAACTACACATCCACCGGGGAAGCACCCTGCGTCGTGGTGAACAACGTGACCGCAATGTGGCGGAAGTCGTCGCTGCCGACGACGCGCTCTCCAGCTCCGCGTGCGGGAGCCGGCGGCGGTCGGACCGCACCTCGACGGGCTGCCTGGTGACGCCCGAGACGCGGCCGACCCGGCCCAGCGGCGCCGGACGTGCGCGGCCGGCCGCACTCTCCAGTCGTGCCCGGCCAGATCTGAGGCGCTGGCGGCGCCGGCCCGTTCTGTGGCTTCGGCCGGCACGACTGAGGCGTCGGGAAACCTCAGAATGTGTGTCGGCGAGGGCTGAGCGCCGTCGGACGGCACAGCGGCCGACACCAGGCGCCGAGCGCCGGCGACACGCACACCCGACCACGCGCGCCCGGTCACGCGCGCCGCTCTCGCAGGCCGGCACGCACACCCGGCCACGCACGCCGCTCTCGCAGGGCGGCACGCACCCGCGGACGGCGGACCGCAGATGGAAGCGGAAGAAGCGCAGACACCTCGGAAGCGGGTCCAGGCGGAGTCAAGCAGGTAACCAGAGCACAATCGGTCATTGTCGAGTGGTCCGCTATGTCCGACATAAATAGCATGGGCGAAAGTCAGCCACCAATGCAAAACATTGCTTGTAACAAGGAAATGACCAGGTTTTTGGAGGCCCACATTCTGCTAATGCCAATTGGCAGGCGCGCTACGAGCCCCAGCGGCTCAGCTCTAATTTCATGTGACTCAATAATGAGTCCGCCGCTGACACCGGCAGCGTTGCATGCCATTTAACTGGCGTGTCATTAAACCAGGGCTTTATAGCTAGCCATGCGGCAAAGACACTTGCAGCGCCCAAGCCGCGGACTGCTGTCGGTCAGAGTCTGCCGACTGCGCAGGTGCGGCCGAGTGCAGCCCACATGGAAAGTCGTGACTCGGGCGACATGTACCGTGCAGAACAATTGAAACACAATCTGAGTCTGGCAATGCACCGCACGCCACAGACGTTCTAAATCAAGTAAAGAATAAACGAATTGTGAAAGAACCGGCGACATTGTCACAACCGGCGTGCAAGGTAGCTGGAAGCCCGAACCTCGAAATGCGCTGTTCCAACTGGTCGGGCAGAAACGGCACATGTACTAGTACCCGCGTTTGTCACCGAACATATTGCCTTGCATGCTTGCAGCCTATCCTATGATACTAGCAATAGTTCAAAGGTCATATCAATGCTGTGCACCGTAATGGATAGCAAAATTTCGCAGCCCTGTTTTAGTTTGTCAAGTTTAAAAAGCTCGCAGCGGAACCTCTTCCTCTAAATGTGGTTGGCTGGCCGGACAACGGGCGTCGTTGTGGTGATGCGGGGTCTGAGCAATGTAACTGACCAAGAGAGGCAGCCTCAGGTGCCTAAACGAGTGTGGCGCTAGAAGGCAAATAGGCTTTTTGCGCGACTGTGTATGCAGCTTGTGAACACACGTCTACCAATGCTTGAACGACGATAAATCAAGATATATGACCTTTTTCAACTGTCCTGAAAAGCCAAAAAGCCATCAAAATGCTTGGAAAAGCCTAGCACCCACATAGCTGCACTGTACCCAGAAATATAGCTGGCGCGGCAGTCTTCAGTACGATCGAACGACACTCAACAAAATCGCCAGTAAATAAGTTCACTTCGCCGGGGCATTACAAGCATCCCAACTAAACCCAAACGACTGCCAGTGTCGTAAAATTATGCGGGTACGCTGGGTCCTGCCACCGACTCATTTCCAGGGGCGCACATAAATACGGGGCCGCGCCGGGGTGGCAGCGACAAGGGAAGTCCATTTTGCAGGTTGGGCTGGCGCGCGCGGCGGCCGGGCCGGCCGGGCCGTACCTGGCGCGTGGCCGGCCGGCCCGACCCCCGCCGACGCGCCAGACGCGACACCCTCCCGGAGAGGTGCCGCCGACACCCGGCGCCACGCACGGCGACACCGAGACCCGCGATAACATCGCACACCCTCGTCCTTCCCCCCCCCCTCCCACCCCCTAATTCGGGTGACCGTTGGGCGGCGTGGCGGCGCGACACGGCAGAGTCGGCAGGAGCGGCGGCGGCGGCGCTGAGCCGTCCGCTGGCGGGCCGCCGGGGCACGGCGCCGCTCTGGCCCTCCCATCGCTCGCCGTAGCACGCATTAACATATAGGGTACTCAGCCCTTGTCTTCGGACCACGGGATAATTATAGGGAGCTCCCGGGTGTCATTGGCAGGTCATGCCCGTAATGATAGTATTGGTCGTCAAAAATAATCTGATGACCAGTCAACTGCTTTTGAGGAAATGTTGGAGCAGCTAGACAGCTAGCAGCTATATGTTTAGACAAATTGCAACGCAACACAATTAAATCGAATACATGAATGTCAACATTTTTTTAAAAAATGGAAGTCAAAGGCATAAATGCATGTTGATGTATGCTACGTATATTTCGATATCGTCAGCCATCCAAAAACTTTAAATTGACTCCCAGACAGAAATTAATCATATATCTACCAATGCAAAAAAGGACGTTATGCATTAATCTAATTTTGCCATCAAGATGTTTCCGGTTTTAGGAACTTCTAGAAAATGCCTTGTATTGGAGTGCCCAAAATGGCAGTGGCCTGAGTGTACCTTTTGAAGTTAGACATTTAGGTGAAACTTCAGTTAATTGAGTTTAGTTACCCCATAGGTGTTCTTGTCCTTCTAACGTTTGACATCAATTTTTAGCTTTAAAAATGAAGTGCATGTACAGTTCAATTAAGAATGATCTGCAGAGACATATCGCGCGCATCATTTTCGATTGTTGTTGTTTTCTCAATTTTCTTAATTTTTTCTCCAAAATAAACCTAGCAATCCATCTCTGAACTTTGCTTTAGACCATAGTACAAGGGCTGCAGTTTTAGTTGTCTTATTCAAAAGGGTTTGGAAATTCGGCCCACCAACAATTAATTTTTTAGCTACATAGGCATGCTGAAAGCAGAGTGACCTCCTGATTTATGTACAATCTTCCTTAACGTTAGCGGTTGTCTGTTCCGGCGCAGCGTTTCTGTCCAGTTTTGCCCTTAGCACTGTGGTTAGCCAGCGCGCCATAGGGAGCAAGCATCGCGGCAGTGCCTCAGGGTTATGCCACCACGTACCGTGGTCAGGAGAACCTAGTGCGAAGGGACAATATTTCCATTGTTTTGTATTTGTTGGGCTAAAAGGGCTACTCTTTAATTGCAAGTTTCACCTCCTTTGGGGAAATATAAACCCCAAGTATTTTTGCACACCAGGTCAGTTCAAATAAAGAAGTGTAATTTTCCAGTGGACATGCCAACGGAGCGCGGCACTGGACCGCCGTCTGTCGGCTGGGCGTGTGCTTACCTGCCGCTCTTGGTGATGACCATCTCGGTGCCGAACTTGTGGAACTGCGCCCAGAGCTCCTTGGACTCCAGTGTCACCTTGGGGTCATCGACGACGCCGTCCTCCTCTGGCTGGAGGCAGCGCGGCGGCCGCATGCTGCCCTGGTGCCCGAGCACGTCTTCGGCCGTGAACGGGTGGCCCAGGCCCGGCGGCAGCTTCGGCATCAGCGACTGCGGGTACGGCACGTGCGGCGGCAGCGCCGGGAAGTACTGGCCCGGCGTCAGGAACGAGCCCGACGAGAAGTCCGGGTGCCGCATGAACGGTGGGTACGCCATTTCGGGAACGCGAATGTCCGCCTGGTCGAATCTCATGGAAGACGCCGCGGCCCGCGAGCGGGAACCATCAGCAAGCGCAAACAACCGCTGCAGAGCTTGGCGCGCGGCGCGCGGGTCGTCCAGTTGGCGGCTGCAGCACGCTGGCGCCGCTGGCGGCCGAGCGCGGACACGTCCCGTCACAGAGGCAGCACTCCAGTCACTACCGAGTGTCAAAAGCCGTGCGCCGGCCTCGCCGCCGCGCTAATCAGCTGACACTCGCGGCGATTGGTCGAGGTAACACCCGCCGACCAATGGGAGCGCGCCGAGGCGCGGGCCGCGCAGCTCTGGAGGTGTCCGTCCGGCGGGCGGGCGGGAGCGGCGGGCGGCGGACCGGCCGGGCGGCGGACTGAAGCGACTGTGGCGGGCCGCGCCGCCGCCGCCGGCGCCCGGCACCTGACACGGCCCCGTGTCAGCGCCGCCGCCTGTC